TTGGCTCCTGCTGCTGGTGATATGGTTTGGCAAACATGTCATGGTATTGGGATAGGTCTGGATCATTTTGTATCTTATTATTTTCAGTTTTATAATAGATGACAGCAAGGCCTCAATTGGTACATTAATCTGCAAAACTTATTCAATTAACATTTTTCAATTTAAACAGAGTTAGCATTTCCTATGTTGGCAAATAGAGTTTAGCATTTTTCAAGGTAATGGTGGGAAATGTTGTAGACATCCAAAATTTTGATAGGATTTCTTATTCAAGACGAAATATTGTAGATGAAGTTTTTAGGAGATTGATTATAGTTGATAACAATGGATACGATCATACAACTGATGATTGAATCTACTGAATAGATTTCACATGTTTCATCGTATAAATATTTTATATTAAAACAAACTTATGAAATAAGACGCTGTTAATATTTCCAAATGTTAGCGCAATTGAAAAAGCGTACAGATGGAAACTTCAGTGCCCGTAGTGTTTAAAAAGATGAAGAAAAAACATGTGGGGAATAGAAGCTCATGTGATTAGTAGTACTAGGGTAAATAATATATAAATCTTCAAGGATGAGGCGGAGACATATTATATGATTAAGAAGTAATAACATAAGTTCTTACTATTCATGAGTCATGACCAAACAAGTGACAAAAGGCTTACTGAGAGAATCAATGAGTATGTAGGCATTCAATTTTTTTTTATCTATTCACCATTCAATTTATTTATCTACTCACGAATTTCATGTTTGGTTTCACACTAACAAGGCTACTTATCATGTGTTTATAACTTTGTACATTTGAACTTTCTTTTATTCTCTTTTTTTATCATCACCTAATGTTAGACTGATAATGTGTGTTGAAGTCCTCAACAAACACAGTTGCCACTTACAGCAGAGCCTAGGAAAAATGCCCCTAGAAATAGAATTGTTGTTGTTGGGTGGAAACATGGGGTAGATACTTCGACCTCAGAAAATGAAACGCATCTATATGTCAATTAGTATCACACTTCATTATTGTGATTTGCTGCTTCGCTTTATGAATTGAAATGTTGAATTAACTTGTTTAATTCCTATTATACTCTACTTGAAAACATTTATAAAAATGAAGAAGCTTTATAAGAAAATTGGTGTAGACCAAACTTTGAGAATTTCAAATGTAGCTTAAAACAGAAATTTAAAATTTCTTTGATCTGAATCATAAAACTTTATTGATCACTTTTAATTATATATCTATTACTTTCATCCTAAAACTTTCAAAATTTATGAAAATAGCATAAAATTTAAAAATGAAAAGAATTCAATTAAAACATTTGAATTTTCAAAAAAAAAAAAGTCAGGAATCCATCCAAATACAATTTTGAAGTAGTCCGCTAGCAATTCTCCTAAATATCAAAGAGCTTTTCATCAAGCATGGCATTCTTAAGACCTTCCTTCGCTCAAAGATTGTAAAACACCTAACTCTAAAGAATTGGTATAGTAGTAAAAAGACAAGTCTAAAATCTTAATGTTTGAGTTGTAAAAAGAAAATTTTGTGGGATTACTTTTCGCACTTCTAGTGGTGCACATACTCTTGTAAAAAATAAAAAATACTCTTATCAATTTACTTCAAACATAAATTTATTTAAATACTCACGTCATCCTTAAAGTTGGTAGAATTGATTTCAAGAGATAATTACCAACGTATGTCCTGGACCAACCATCTATAATGCTACCATCAAGTTGAAATCAGAGTTACTTTATCCCATATAGCAGAGTGGAGAAACCAACCCAAAAAATAAAATAGCAAGATAGTGATAGCGAAATATCTTTTTGTTGACTTTTTAGAAATTACTATTTTTTGAAATAAATATATGAATAATCTATCCAAATAACACAACCTGCATAAAAGTTTTATAAAAATCAAATTAATAAAATAATAATAGATTAAAGATTTAATTATTTGTTCTGATATATTATTATTATTATCATTTTTATTATTATTTTTATTAATTGTTTTACTTACAGTTGTAGTTGTATGTGAAGAGATAAGGGACTGTTCAACTTTTTTACAATTGTACGTAGCACTTATCCTCTATCTCTTCCTACTTTTTACAATTGTACAACACTGAACAAATTAATTACTCCTACTTTTAACTTTTCAACGCTTTTTTCTATTCTTTCTATCCTTCTGTGATACGGTTACTCTACATTTTCTATTCAATGCTTTTCAGCAATTATCCTCTTTCTCTTCTTTCTTTTCTTTTCTATTCTTTCAATTCTTCTTTCTTTTCTGATATTGTTACTCTACATCTTCTCTTCCTTCTTTTCAAAATCGTAAATGCACAGAAAAAAAATCTTCTCTTCCTTCTTTTCAAAATCATAAATGCACAGAAAAAAAAAAGTCAAAAAAAAGAAACCTAGTCAAGCACTCCACACGAGTAGCAACCCGCGAACCCAGCGAAAGTGCTCGTGATCTGAATCTACGAAACACACCATGAATCAACCGCGGAGGGTGGCCGCCCCGGTCAAAACGCTGTCGCCAATTGCGCCTGCAATTCATAACTCTGGTTGATATCGCAGGGAAGCCTACTAGTCTCACTTTCTCTCACATCCTGCAAAAGAAGAGCTTCAAGGAGTGGAAGCATCTATGGCCAGCATGAAAACTGTATATGCTGCCAAGTGGTACGAAAATACAAATTTTCGGATTTCTACAGGAAATATATTTCTAGATTATTTTTTTGACAAAACAAGAGTGTGGTTTGTGGTGTATATAAAATGCATTCGGTGATATACTTTTGAATTATTGATGGACAATTTCGGATTTTGATAGGGTGGCTCTTCACCACTAAGGGTAGGAAGAGCAACCCCCAAAAGCCTTTATGGCCATGAGTTTGATAGAGATGCTTTGGGCCAATTAGAGATAACTTCTAACCATGAGACAATAAATTGGACACAAGCAGGCTACTGGAATTTTTTGTGTAGAAGAGAGCCTAGATTAATGAAGGTCGGACATAGACTATTTACTTGAATCATAAGTTTACTTATTAACTGCGAAAGGGAATTAGGACTGAATTACTGAGAGATACTGGCTAGGGTTTTAAAAAACATCGTCCCAAGGTAGCAGATGAGGTAAAAACACTGATAAAATCAACACAATCATGGTGTAGCTTATCAAAAAAAAAATCACAATCATGGTGTAGGGAAAAAAGATGAGAAGTCAAATTGGATTGTAGCAATTAATTGAAATGTAAGAACATGATGATAGAATAATGTTAGTGTGTTGCGTGTGTAGATTACATGTTGATACGAGTGTAATAGTTCTCAATGTAGGAAAGCATTTTACTTATTCCAGGGATACAAAATCTAATATTGAGCTTTCTTTCACAACCTAAGATAAAATTATATTAATATTGGTATTGGTATGAAGGATGATTTATAGAATAGAATGCACTAACCCCTGTCTGTACAAAACCAAACGCTTAAATCTTAATTGAATAGGGTAACAATTAATGCACATAATGAACTATGAAAACCACTTTCCAGATTTTTTTTTCTTCTAGTTTTCTAGATATTCTAGCAGACATAAAAACTAATGTTGAGGCCATACATAACTAACAACTTTAGCTTTTCAGAGAACTGGTCCTTTACCGTTATCAAAACCGTTAGGTACGTGTGTTGTGTTGTGTTTACAAAGCTAGTTGATACACTTCACACTGTCAGATATTTGATAGCCATAACAGAATACACAATATTACATAAGTTATCAACACCATTCAATAAATTATGTTATGTTGAAAGTCCTATACTAATGGTGATATGACCTAAAAGAAAGTATATACAAGTGATGAACATTCCACGCCTTAAAGGTCAGTTTTGTAAAATTTAGTTAGATCTCAACCCAAGTTCCAATATGATATTTGAGCTTAATCTAATTGGGGCATGCTTTAGATGTCCAATCTTGAGCATGAGGGTGTGTGTGTTCAGACTCCTACACTACATTGGATTTGATATAACCTAAAAAAGTGTTTATGTGTGGTGATCATCTCTTATTTTACAAGTCAGTTTTATATGGTGGAGTAGGGCTCAACCCGAATTCTAATACCAGGCACCCTATGATGTTTTCCTCACAAAATTGAATTATAGTAATTAGTTGGAAATGGAGAACATAAGATGATTTAAGTGCACTGACTATCAGTTTGTAACATTTGTTCTCATTGAAACAAAGTGTGTTTTGGGTGAAATGATGTGTTTTTAGGTTATGATATGAGTGACTAATATTCTAATTGCCTTCAAGGAGGGTCCCATTATTGTCCAAACCCTAATATCTAATGTCCATCCTTAAGGAATTTCTTCTTTTATCAAACCAGTATCTAATGTGTTAAATATTATAGGGATTACAAGACTCTCTTGTTAGAAACAAACACTTTAATAAAACAAAATATAAATGTGGGCTCCATAAACCTTAGTTGAAAAAGCAAGTCAGTAAAATAAAACATGCTACAAAGATAACACAGGTGAAGATGGCTAGAATGATGCGCAGCCTAGTTGGTTCGGATTTTGCATGGCCACAACTGACACCATTGGAAAGATGTGTAATAGAACTTTTAGGGGACACAATCAAACTCTGGCTAATACTTCGCCAAATTCAAAATTCAAATAGTTCAATAATGTTAAAGGTGAGACGATTTATGAGGTTTACTTCATGGCTTAAAAGAGTTTAGAAGGAAAACCTTGGGGAGTAAGATTGTAGTTTCAAAGGATATTGATAGGGCTTTAGGAATGTTTTCGATGTATTTAACCTCTGGAAGTAATAACCCTGAAAAAACAAAAGAATCGTTGGTAAAATTATCATTACAAATACAAAAAACTGAAGATATTTTACAATGTTTTGCTTATAATAAAACAAGAGAAGAATCTTTTGGATTATAAATCCATTTCCTACTACCCTTTTAATGAACTGTCATTTAAGGTTCACATCCGAACATTTTATTATTAGTATGGTTTTACAGGCAAATAATGGGCGAAGAATTATCAGGTTTGACAGTCAAAGAACTACAGAGTTTGGAGAACCAATTGGAAATCAGTCTTCGCGGTGTTCGTATGAAAAAGGTTTGCATTTTATAGAGTACTCATGTTTGATTCTAAAGATACCATAGTTGACAAACAATTGAATTTTGCAGGAGCAACTTTTTATGGGTGAAATACAAGAACTAAATCGAAAGGTCAGTCTTGAAACAAAGAAATTAAAAACTTAACTATTCATTAATTAAAAAATGTTCTTATATCCTGCAGGGAGACATCATACACCAAGAAAATGCAGAACTGTATAAGAAGGTAAACCTAATTTGTCAAGAAAAGATGGAACTTAAAAAGAAGATATTGGTTTATATGGCAATAGAAACTAAATTATCAACATTTTAAATGAGGCAACCTTGTTAGATGCTATATTCTGAACTCTAAAAGAGACTTTCACTAACCCAGGTCTATGGAACAAAAGATAAGAATGGAACAAACAGAATTTCTGTTCCCACAGACAGTCTAGGCATAGGAGACGATTCACATGTGCCTGTGAACCTCCAGCTCAGCCAGCCACAGCAACTACACTACAAAGCACCTTCAGGAACTACAAAACTGGGGTATGGTTTTGATCATTTAGCTAGTAAACTGTTAATCATGAAAAGAAAACTATTGACATCAGAATATTTTGATTGCTTCAGCAGACTACAATTGCATTGACGCATTTCCAGGAGATAGGTGTTTCTCGCCTGCTATCAAATAAAATGGCCTTGGGTTTCAATTAGATATATGAATGTGGCGTGGCATATAGGCCACAAACCATTTACGTCAAGATTCTAGTTTGAAATTATGAAAATTAAAATCACGAACAGCAAACGAAAAAATAACCTAAGAATGTATGCGATGAACAATGAACAATGAAGCATCTGTGTGGAGCTAAGACTCGGCAAAGAAATTCTCCAAATTCAACAGATGTTTAATTCATTTCACTAGTGTTAAAAAACTATTACTGCCTTCAAACAGGTGAAGCTGGCATAATTAAAGAATCCACGATGTTGTTAACTTAACATATTGGGCAAATCAGTGCATAGAGAATATAAATATTCCAGCAAAATGAATCTAAACACCATTGCATGAATAATATTAACATAAAATTTACATAACCACAAAATCCCTACCAAGCTTTCACTTCCAATTAAAAAAAGAATGTTTAAAAATTTGCCCACCAGTTTGGATTCTTGGCTTAATGTCATTTACATTTAGAATGGAAACAGGGAAATTGAAAATAAAAGCCTATATGGAAGACTTATTGACTTAATGCAATGTAGCTCACCAACAGTTGAAAATAGAGAAGGGATACAGCATGGGCGACAGATAAGTATGAAAGAATAAAAAGTATATGGAACAAAACCATATGCAACTCAATTTACGAAAATAAAATAAACTTGCGTTATTCTAAAAGCTTAAAAATCATAGCAATTCAGGTTTCAGAATCAGAACCAAAAATTTACAATCACTGCAACAACCAGATAAATGAGCAAAGTTATGTGCCTTTTGAGATGTAAACAAGGCCTCCCCGGCCACAAAATGAAACTATTAATGTAAAGTACTGGCAGACTAGTTGCCCTCTGTTTGCAAGATGTTCAATCTAGGAGAAAACAGTCATTGCTATCAAAATTCTATTCCTAATATTTGATATAAAACCATTAACGAGTCTTCACCAAACAACTAAGGACTCTCTGAGTGGATTCTTGAACTGGTAATAAGAGCCTAAATCTTCTTAGTAGTCTAAAATTCAATCCTTGCTTCCCCATTCTTCTAAATACAGGTTGAATATCATAACAAGGTAGGTCGGTCGGTCTATTCTACCTGCTTCAATTCAAGAAAAGTGTACTTGCATAATACAAATTATTCTAAATTGTTTTACATTACCTGACTGGTAATAGATTCTGTTTGAACCCCTAAAAACCTTCCAGACATAGGCAAAATGTTCTATATCGTCCTACATCATGCACAATTTCAACAATGTGTAGACTGTGTCTTTTAAAAAAAAATTCAAAATACACCCTCAGCCACTCAAATATGTCTTGTGTAAATTGTATATGGGATAAACTGAAATTAACCCTCTTAGAGAATAGATAATGCACTATGTGGATATTATTTCAAATGCACATGTCAAGGCTGTCATGAAAATTCCTGATTACAATTGCTTTAAAAGATTGTAAGCATATGAGACCTCAAATATGGAGAATTTTGTGTATGATAAAAATATCTTATATTACTAGATCTCAATGATAAATTAAACAAATGAAATTTAATGAAGGTGGAAGATGATGGCTAAAAGGAGATGATGGTGATTGAGATAGGAGTGAGAATCGAAGGGGATGATAATCATTCGCAACTAACAAGTAAGATCTCGAAACTGATATGCAGGAAGCCCCTTGGTGAATGCATCTGCAAGTTGAACTTGAGAAGAGATGAAGGAAGTAGTTACAAGACCATTATCCAATTTCTCATTGAGGAAGTGGCAGAACATCTGTGTTTGGTTATATCTTGTTGTATTTGGTTGTGAATGCTAAGGACAACATTCTTATCACAAAATAACATCGTAGTACCTTTGTACTAACTCAAGTATGATCTTCATCCATAACGACTCATAGACATCATTAGCCATGGATTGAAATTATGCTATTGCACTTGATTTGGTAGCTATATTTTTGTTTTTCACTCCTTCATGTCACCAAATTTCTTCCCAAAAACATGCAATGCTCTGAGGTAAACCTTTTTATCAACAATCGACCCTCTATGGTCTAATTCTATGTACACCTCCATGAATAACTTTCCTCCTCTCTTGAATAGCAGTCCACTATAAGGGACTAGTCTTCAAATACTAAAAAATCCTATTTACTACTACATATGTCTCTCGTGGATCACTCATGAACTTACCAACCACAGTGACAGCATACACAATGGTTGGCCTAGTGTGTGTGAGATGGATAGAAGAGTATTCCCATAAGTGGTTAGTGTTGGGCTTTCGCTACTTGTGGGTTCTCATTACTTCCAATCTTGTGATTTTTCTCAATGGGTACCTAGACATTTTACTCTTCCCATTAAGAGAGTCATATCCATGTGAGATTTCCATACACACTTCTTCCAAACTTCTTCCAGCTTTATGAAAAAAGGCATTTTTAATGTCCAACTATCGAACCTCCCATTCAAAAAAAGCTACCAAGGCGAGAATGACTCATATAGTATTCATTTTTGCTACTAGAGCAAATGTACCCTCGTAATTAATCTTGTATGTTTAAGTGCATTCATTCACAACAAGTCTTGCCTGAAATCAATACGGTGTACCAAATGTGTGATATTTAAGTGTACATCCACCTACATCCTACTACCTTCTTATCACCCGGCTTGTCAACATTCACCTAAACCTTATTTATTTCCAATATACTCATTTGAATTCAATTTTCACCCTTTAAGGCCACTTGAATTGAGTTATGAATTTTAATAAAATCAATTGTTGAAACAAAGAATTTGGATAAACCTCTATTGTTTCACAATATGCTATTTATTATAAAACATTTCCTATGAACTAGTACATTGTCATTATAGAACTATTGTATAGCTGAATTTTAACAATTCACTATTTTCTATCCGCAATTGACAACATTGATTTAGCACGAACAAACTAAGATATAGGATACCTAGCGCAGAATTTTTTTTTGTCAAGGCAATCGACAACTCGCCATTACTTGTTTCACGATTAGCGGTGCTTACGTTTGGTTTAGACGACTAAAATTGAAGATACCACTGTAGAAGAAGAGGCTACAACAAAAGGCAAATCATGAAGAGAAGCTTAACCAACCAAACCTAGTACTCATTAACATAGACATCACAACTCAAAATGTAGCAAGAAAACCTCATGCAATACACCTAAAAATGGGATCCACAAGGAGAAATGCGGTTGTTTGATCCACTACAAAGGTCGAGTATCAACTTCCAAGAGCAATCACTTGTAAACTTATATTACTCATTGATTAAAGTTTTGGTGTGTTGATCAAATGGCGCTCATCATCATAATCAATCTACTCTGCATATTACATCAAATTTAATTTTTCATGAATGGACCGGACCAATCATATATGTTATGTCATACATATGATTATCACTTTATCAAGGAAAAAGTTCTTTCTATGGAAATGCCTATTAAATTTGTTATTCAAATCATCAGATTAGAGATATTCTTACGGTTTCTTTGGACTCTTCAAGGACAGTTAGTTCATTTGTAATAAGTTTAGAACAAATGATTGGTATATCTATCTTAAGGTATTTGAACATATCTCCAATTCAATGAAAATATCTACCATATCTAGGAGATGTATATAGTTATATATTTGATTTAATTCCTATAACATTCCTAGTTTCCCTATTTTCTCATATTCCTAGTACTGTTACTATAAATCATGTAAATCATGTATATATAACTAATCATGCGAGGTTTTCTTCAACAAATTTAGAAATCACATTTGTTTTAAGAAAAACTACATGTCATTGTTTAATGAAAAGAATCTCAAGACAAAATCCGGTAATCAAGGTTGTAAAAACCGGTCACATATCACGAAAACGGTTGCGCCAAAACAGTATCAAAAGGTGTCGATGCTATACTGTTATTCACTGTTTTGTGATAAAGAACAAATTGTTGTTTATTTACACTGCAACCACTACAACCGTCGTTGACCGAAATCACAAAAGCTGCTATGCAACCGGTGACTGTTATTTAAAGCCTTGCCAGTAAAATATCACATTCCAAATGGATGAAAGATTGATTAAACATAGAGCTTAAGTTTAATTGATAATTGATTACTTGATAAAACCAAAACTACAACTCCTCTAACACAGTACATTTTACTGGATTAAAACAGTAGCAAAATCTGCATAATAAAAAATAAAAATAAAAACTAGCATACACAACACAACATTTGCAAATTCATTTTCTTATTACCTGAGATCCGAACGCAAATCTCCATTGAAAAACCATCGCAAAAGTAACCTAGATATAACAATAAAATAAACTGCTAAGTGTACGATTAGAAGAAGCACCGTGATGCCACGATAATGCTAAATCCGAAAATGAATACATAAAAAATACTAAACCAAAGCGATTCTTCTATACACTAAATTGCATCTAAAAGAGGAAAAAAATTCTACAAACTATGCTTTCGGTTACATGCAATAAGATCAGTATTTCTTGTGTGTTTCTTCGGTTTTACCTTTACTCTCTCGCCGTTTCTCAGCGACGAGATGGATCCGGATGATGGAAATTCGGTTCTGTTGAATGATGGAAAGTGGAAACAACGGATTGGTGTTACGTGAAATCGGAATCCGCCATTGAACGATGAAGCTTCGAGAAGGAAAGGAATAGAAAAATATGAGAAAGCACTAGAAGAAGGAGAGAGAAAGAGAGCGAAACGAAAGCATGAAAATATCTGGAGTAACAGTTATAAGAATTGGTTTAAATAAACTGGTGGTGGGGCCATAGGGGTTTGCAGCATTTATTCCCCTAACTAATTATTGGTTTGGTTTTAAAAGATTTATTTATTTATTTATTTATTTATTTATTTATTTGGCATTTTTCAATGTTGATTATATACTCTTTGTCAAAAAATCATAAATGTTTTTTAAATTTATATATGTGTTTGAGATGCACTTAAATTTTA